AAATTAGGAGTCCCTTTTCACAAAAAGTAAAAGGGATATGGGAACCATGCCTCACTAGGGGGTTCACTATGTGTATCTGTGGCTATAGCTTCTGAAATATTGTGTATGATGAATCTAAGTTTTTAAAAAGATCTGGAAAGGAGGTTTATGATAGCATACACATGTACAGACCTCTTATTTGCAATTACTGATGCTTTATGTGGAGATCCATTTCCATCCATATAAAAAGAGATTTTAAAAAGTTTCCCTTGTCCAGCCATGTCTGTCTCTAGGGGATGGTGCTCATCTCCATTTCCTAGCCAAGGGAATCAGCGTTGTCTGAAGATGCTTCTGTGGTCATGTGGCTGGCATGACAATACGCAGAGACTCAAGGGAACACTGTTATCTTCCCACTGAAGTGGCACCTATTATCTACTTGCAATCTGCATGCTTTCAAACTGCTAGGGTAGCAGGAGCTGGAGCATTCATGGGCTCACATCACACGGTACCTGGGTCTCAAACTGGTAGGCAAGCCCAGCGTCTTAATGGGTAGGCTACTGTGTCCCCTACATCCAATCAATTCCATGGGTCTTGAACAAGCCTTGAAGATTTGTGTCTGCTTCACAATTTGTAAAGGGCTCTTTTTATTTGAAGCTAATCTTATTGCTTTGGAATCTAATATGCAGTTCTCTACTGAAGAAAGCCTGTTGAAATAGCTAGCAGGCTTGTAAATAGCAATCTCATATTTGTAATGATTTTATGGGTCAGAGAAAATGTTGACTGATTTATGTTAATTAGTAACCTAGCTTATGACTTTACTCAGTGATTTGGGAGAGCAGTTGTCTTGGCTGGAATATTTGAGTGCTGCATTTATCATACAGGCAGATTTTAATTGTTTCATTTTACTACTAATTATGATAATGATCATTCTTTTTTCAGATTCTTTGGAAGGTAGATCTATTGGCTGATAACATTTAACACAGAAATGCAAAATGTAAGGCTGCAAGGCCACATATTGCCCCCACCCTCACATTACAATTTTTTTAATTGAATAGCAGGGGACAATTATTAAACATGTATAACTAGTCATTTTAACTGTGTTTAATTGCAATTACATTTCATTTAAATGAAATGAGACAAAATTGAATTTTGATTCCCCTGCTCCCTTGCTCTATTTACAGCTTCCCTGTATGCCACAGGCTTCACCATTAATGAGGGAGAAATTGCACATTTCTGACTTCTATTAACCCATCTGCAAGAGGGGTAGGAAATTTGTGAATATTGCTATATGTTGGAGGTTCACAACCTTTCTTATCTTAAGTTTCACTAATCATTATATTAAAGAATCAGAGTCCCAACATGCTAGAAACAAAACTCTACTTTCCCCAAAGATTTTAATATTAAAGTATTGTATTCCTCATTTATAATGAAGACATAAACTTTCAGTGATTGATTTTTATCTACTTAGATAGGCTACTATTCAGCTCCATCCATGAGTATATGGCTTCTAAAGATAGACTGGCATTGTCCCTTTCTTACCAAAAATTCCTACTGTAATCTCTGCCTAAGATCTTAGGCAATATACTTTTCAGCCTAGGACGTGCTGATGAGTCAAGACCTTCAAATATGTGGTGACTGTCTTCCAAGCTACAGGTAAATGCAAATCTCAGGTTGACTACCTCACTCTAAATGCAACATAAGTGTCAATCTTACAATCCTTTTACTTTTCCAAAGGAACTCAGCAAATACCAGCAGTTTTATTATTTATTTAGCATATGGCAAATACACGGACTTACAGTAGTTCAAATGTTAATGTCCACCCAGCCATTCAAGGACAGGGCGGTCTATGCTGAAAAAAAACAAAACAGACATTGGGCTGGTGTAAGCTCTTGATGGACATTTGGACACAATGTGATGGATATTTTGTTGAGAAGCACCACAGTCACACTGAGGGGTAGAGACAAGACCCCACTTAAACATTGAGTCCTGGCAGACACCATGTTGGGTATGGATCCTGTTCAGAGTTGACCAATGCTGGTGAGGAAGGTCAAAACCTGGCACCTTTTGTGTAGGGTCATCTACGTAACTGTCTGTATCTGGGCTGCCTATGTCCCTGCAGTTATTGAAGTCTTCTCAGCTAAGACCCAGCTAAGACTCTTTTTGGAGCTCAGTTGGGTCCCTACAGGACATTCCTCCTCTTGGAAAGACTTCAGTCAAATTTCTGAGAACTAGCTTTCAACTGCCTCCCTATGTTTTGAGCACAGACCTTTACTGTGAAGTTGGCCTTCTCAAAATTGAAACTTCTGCCTGGATTCATATTTTCTCCCACTGACTTAACATCCTTTTCTTTCCAGTTGGTCTGACCTTTCTAATGATGACTGACAGCTTCCAGTGCTCCTGGAGCCAGGGAATGCAATCTAAACTGCAAGTCTATGGCTATTCATAGCCAACCACTTTGATGGGCTACGAACATGCTCTAACTAATCTCAGATAGTAGGCCACTGTTTTAGAGCTGCAAGTTGACTTCTCAATCTTCCCAGAAATACCTTTTTGAGCCACTCTGCACATTCTCTCCCACTAGCCAGACATCTCAGTTGCATAATAATCCCAAAATTCAGAAGCACCCTTTCTTTAGCCAGATTCAATGTCCTTCCAACAGCTGTTACCAAAGGAAGATACAAAAAAAAATCCCTCTTCCAAAAAGCCTGTGCCCATGCGATGGGGGAATTATTGAAGCAATATTATGTTCTATTGATCCTTCTACACAGGAGCACACCAGGAGTTATTATTTCCACTTTTTATTAAATATCCCAGTCATTCCAATTTGCCTTATCTTAAAATGCTATTATCAGATCAATGTAACTCCATATTTCTGTAGTACTGCTCAGTAGTCTGCACTCTACATGATAGGATTAACTCTAACCCTTCTTAGATATTTTAAGTAAATTTTTTATTGGTCACCCATCTAATCATAGGGTAAGCTTAGTTACACGTAGCTTAGTTACACGTTCTGGGTAGGTTAGTTACATGTTCAGTTAAAACGTAAAAAGTTAATTAAAATTTAATTAGCATTTCTACAATCTGACTATTGGAAAGAAATATATTGAAGAACCTTTCTGATCTTCAAGAATGTCCGTATTGTGAATTTCTAAATTTCAAATGCATTGCTAAAGCAGGCTTTTCTCCTCTATTGGAGTGGACAGGATAGCTTTCTGTCTCCTTCAATATACAAGATTACTGTTTTCTATACTGATGAAGGAATATTTTTTCCACTTCTCCTGAAAGCAGAGGCCTAATGTGAAAAGGAGGGAATGTGTAAGTTGTTTGACACAGCTCACTCTTCCACTAGTTTGATGTGCTCAAAGTGGACTGTTTTACCATATTTAATAGTAGAGCTGATTCTGGGCATGAGTACAAGTAATTGAATTGATACAAGGAAAAATTAATATTTCTAAAATTGGTATATAAATGTTGGTATTTATTTCCTATTAGCTCTTTCTGTAGCTTCTACATTTGTAGAAAATAAAGCCATTACATTCCTTTCTGCAACATTTCTCAAGTTCCCTTTCATTTCCATGGTTAATCCAAAGGCAACCATCACAAATATTCAAACAAACAAAGCATCAGCTAATAAATGTACAATTGTTGGAAACAGGATGCTGGATTGTCACCCTATACTGAAGAACCCAATGGACTTTTTACATGGAGCATCTGCAAGAGGACTCCAGATTTTGGCCCTCTTAATTATGTTTTACTTGAACTATTTTAAGTAAAAAAAAAAAACACTTCAAAGCTAGTAGGTTGAAAAGCAAAGCAGTTTTGTCAAGCACCATATTAGATTAGCATATTTGAGCCACGGAGTAGACACCACAGAGCAAAAATGTCAATTGATAAATTTCAATATTATTCCAATATTTATTGTGCCAATTCTGATTTACATAGTTGAGCCACATAAATATATAGTCTTGTGTGGTGACATTTTGGTGTCATTGAGCTTTGTTGTGGATGCTGTTGTCTACAGGGGTTATTAGAAAAATTTAAAAAGTAACGGACTCCACCATTGTTTTGTTTAGAAATAATGCCCCCCCAAAAGGTGGAGGTGCTTGGGCAGCTAGATATGAAAGTCATGCGTTTACCTTATGGTAGTGTTTTCATTATAATGATCATAATTTCCATTCCATTTTGTGAACATATCCATAACTTCTTCACTAAATTTTAAATGTTACTGACCCAAGTCATCTATCATAGGCAATATAAGGCAATTTAATTCCAGAGTGATTAAATCAGAGCTGTCAAACTCATGTTGTCACATCAGCATCATGTGATGTACCACAACTTTCCCTCGCTTCACTAAACTGGGCATGGGCATGGCCAGCGCGTGATGCTTGCAGGCTGGGAGTTAGACAGCCCTGGATTAAATAGTTCAACAATACAATGCATATTCCAGATATAAATTGTGAAATGAAATTTTTCAGATAAGTATGTTTGAGAAAACCTATTAGATTCTGGATGAATGCAGTGAAATATATTTATTTACAGTATTTGTTGTACATTGTTGACTGCCTGACATGGATTAGGAAGTTTATATGTTCATTTTTATGTGTTCTAGTAAAACAATCAACCAGCAAACCTAGTTTTGTGTAGGACAAAGATGTCAAACTGGCAGCCTGTGGGCCAGATGTGACACATAGGCCACAGCCAACCCCAGCTCTGCAAAAGGAAAAAACATCGCGCTATGTCACATGATAACAATGTGATGCCCTGAGTTTGACACCTGTAGTATAGGAGTGGCAGAACCTGAGGGGGTGGAGTCAAATGAGGAATCAGCCTAGTCTCTATGTAGCCACAAAAATAAGCCCAATCTCTCTTGAATTCACTTGACTCTAGTGCCAAAATAGATCTTTCACACCAGAAACATTATCTTCCATGTAATCAGTCCAGATCTTCCTCCACTGCAGATTTATTATTTGTGTCTCTTCAATAACCATACATACATGAACACACTTTGCCAAATGAAAGCATTTATTAAAAGACTTTATTCACAATTGATTTTTTTTACAAATATAGTTCTTAAAAATTAAGCATTTTGTTCTCTTGTAACCAGATATTTCTATAAAGGTGGAAAAAGACTAGCGGAATATGCACAAACAAAAACATTATAACAAAATGACTGCATGATCAGTTCACTTTACCAACGAAGTGTCATTTGGGATTATAAAGCTGTCATACAACGCAAATGGCACTTAAATTAAGAATTTCCAGGGTTTTGTAAATTAAGTTCTTGAACAGCCACATTGGGCACATCAATGTGGCTGATTTAGCTTTTTTGCTAAAAAGCAATGGAAATTTAGATGCTGTCTAATCTGGAAAAGACATTTAAAAAAAATAGAGTTACTTTATTGTTAAACTATATACATAGAGATCAGCATTAATTCAGTCATTTCTGGAAGGATAAAAGGGAATCCCAAAGTTGCTTGTGTGACTAAATTCTAAAAAAGATAATTGAAGCTATTCACACCATTGTAAATAATTTCAGGATTTCAGCAATAACTTTTAAAATGGCAATCAATCTGAAACTTTATACTTTGGCAGTTTTCTGTAAAACTCGACTTTGCCATTTTGAAGATATAAAACAATGTTTCTTTACTTAGCAATTCTAAGGGATATACAATCTTTTTGTCTACTTACATCACTTTACAAAAAAGATACATTAGTGCAGCTTGTACATACAACCTGATTACCTCTAAGTTATAGAACTATAGAAACATTGTGCTCTTTTAAATAATAACCCCTATGAGAAAATTACAACTCCCTTTAGAAAGAAATATGAAATTGATAAAAACATTTGAGTCACTGCGTTTGAGGAGATTATGCGCAATTAATTGCCTCTAAAGGATGGGAAGGGGGAGGGTATAATTTTTTAATTGTTCATTTTTCCATTCAATTTATAGAAGCAGACAAAGATGACTATAGGAAAATATTAACTTCACAGACATTAAATTAAGCCATGGATCACTGGCCTATGATTTATTAAATAAATCACAATGGGAACTCGAAATTAGACTATTATAGCTTAAAGTTACATGTGAACAGGTCAGAGTCCAATTTACCCCAAATGGCACCTTGATGCAATATACACTGGAGGACTGGCAGCGAAAAGAGAGGAGGGGAAATGCCACATATGAGTCAATATCAGAATCACAAAACTAAATATAATGATTAGAAAGAATAAGTGAAATAATTCCCTTGTATTTATTTATTTTTTTTAAAAACTGCACATTTTTGGGAACAAGCTGGTATAGTACTGGAACTGGATTGCTGAATGCCTAACACAGCATTTCTGTGAAGGATATTTGAGTCCAATGATACACAGTCTTGGAACACTTATATTAACAAAAGTAAAAAACAAAAAACAAAAACCCAAAACAAAAGAAGAAACAACCCCCCCCCCAACCCATACCAATTTTAAGCAAAGTCTTAAAAAGAGGAACAAATTATTTGCTATTCCAAATGTCTTCATGTAAACATAACAATGAGGAAATGATTCATGACATGTTCATGATATACTGTATGTGGAAGATAAACAGTGGACTGGTACAATAAAGGACTACTGATTGTCCTACCAAACAGTAGTGCCTTAGAGAACAACTGACAACACAAAGAAACATGAAGTACTGCATCAGAGATAGTCATACCAGGTAACCACTTTTAGTTTTATGAGTTTACTCTTAGGAAATTAAAAAGTTTTAACAAAATGCATTCTTCAAAAGGTCTTAAACAGGAATTTCAAGACCTTTTTGAAGATAGTTAAAAATTTAACTATCAGCTGTTGGATGATGCAAGGCAAGTCATGGCAGTGCACAGCGTCATAAGGAGGGAGAATAACTTACTGTGTGTTTTTGGAAAAGGATTCCAAGGTTAGAGGTTATAACAGACTTTTACCATCAATGGTGGCTCCCAAAGAAAGTAAAAATGGCACTTTAGTTGGGACAATAAAGATTAAGAAGCGGAAATCAACTGCACTTTTTTACATTAAAACTGCTACATAATTTTTTTTTAAAAAATCATGTGATGGCTTTGAATTGATAATATTGCACATTATTAGCTACACAAATGATTGCTGCCCTATTATACTTACTTTCAGAAAGTGCATTGATTTTAAAAGTATTTTGGTCAACCAATACCAGGTGATTTGTTACAGGATGAATATTAATAATAAATCCTGTACAGCAGTATATAGTTTGATTCTCACTCTATGTAATTATATACTGCATATATGTCTTACTAGTTAACATGCTGAGCAGCTACAGAAACTTTCTTTGCTGATAAGAGGTTAATGTTATTTGGTAATTAATTTTATATTATATCTGCATTATAATACTTACTATAACCCAAAAGAAACTTTACTACTTATTCCATTACTATGGCAAGAAAATCAACTGTCCCTATGTAAAAACAGGTTGTGAGATATAATTTGTAATGTTTTACCCAAGTTACATCTATTGGCATTAAATCTAGAAATAAAGTAGAAATTAATTTCCCTCAATGCTCCATGATAGAAATTGTATTTTCTTTTCTGTAAATCAGCATTTGAAAAACTTAATGTGAAGATACTTCAGGATGTAAAGAGCCAAACAGAAAATTTCAAGCACCTAATAAATGAGAAGCATTTTTTTTCAGTTTGATACTCAAAATTATATGCATGTGAGCAGCGTTCTATATGATCAAAAAATGACATCATTTGTAGAAAAATGTCTTAATATAATAATGATTTGCTAGCTGCAACAATCCTGTTCCAAATATACATGAATATCCTCCAATAATTTTACTTGCTGATTTTTCAGTTGCCATGTTTGATTTTCAGAATAGTTTTTAAGAATTGGAGAGGGGTATGAAACGTAATATGCAAACTGGCACAGAGAGTCACAGAAAAAGATTCAGATAAAATTGGGAGTATAGGGGCATGAAAGGGAATCATTGCTGTGGTTCTCCCTATTCAGCCTACCAGATCATCATTATGGCCAAATCTAAAACCCAGCACAATATGTTCATCCATAGGGTTCATAAATAGAGTTGTGATGTTGCAGCAGCACTGTAGCATGACTAAGCCATAGTGCAGAAGAAACTATTTGTACTGAGGTGTAGCAAGTTTTGAAAAGTCTCACTTCACTGCAGACACTCACGACATTATGTATCATCAGATTGTCTGTGGATCAGGGAGTAAATTTATGCAACTTTTATAATTAGTCCTCTTATCTTGGCTCAAAACCTGGATAGCTAAATTTGATAGCATAAACCTACTTGCAGTAATGGTGTAAACTGATTTGAGTGTCCAGGTAGGAGGATGTATCACTGTATAGTAAATACAATTTTTAGGACTGCAATGAAACTTTTAGGACTAGAGGATAGACAAAATTCAGTTTTAAAAGCTGCACAATGAAGAAAGGCTAACACAACAGGTTCCTTTCTGTTGTACATCAATCCCCAGCTTTCTTTTCAACAAAATTTTGCTTCGTTACATGAAGGTTGCTAAACATGACATATCATATAAAGTTCATCCCTACTCACATTGTTTACTGTTGCTTATTAAAACTATAATATTTACAGAAACATGTAAACAGGAAAAAAACCATTCCATAACAAAACTAAAAAAACAAAACCAGTCAATATTATCACTTTGATAAAGTAGGGAACAGTTTAGGTTCCCCCGCCCCCTGCAGTAAAGCATTAAAGTACTGTGGCCAATTCTTTCAAGGGAGAATTAGAGCCACATAATGTGAACTTCTAAAATATGGTACCTCTGAGGTATATTATCCTCCTCTTTCCACGTCATTGTGCCCAATATCTGTCATGTGGAAGAAAAAGCTAATGGAATGTTGGAAATAGCAACAACAGACTTTATAGAATTGGACTAACCAATCTCTAAATAGGACAAATTTGAAAGCACAAAAAGGATATCACACATTAGATTAATTCATCTTGCATAACAACTGAAGTTTTACAGGAAACAGATTTTTCCTTTCGGTGAAAATACTGCTGAAGCTCTATTTTCACCAAGACAGGCTTTGAGAACTGTGCAGCCTCAAAGGGTATCTGTGAAGCCATGTCCAAATGTCAACCCAATTTCACAGTTGTTTATGAAACAAATTCAGAGACAAAGAAATAGATGGGCATCAAAGTTATTTGTGGTTAGGCTTGATATGTAAATATGTGAAAAAGATGTCATAATCTAGGCTTCTAACACAAGCCACAGTTCAATGTAATGGTATATACAGATAAGATAAAACTATATCTGGTTTATACAAATAGTACATCTTTCTAAGTATTCTGATTACCAATTAATGATAGACCCGCATAAGAAGAGGCTGTCACAGTTCGATTTGTCTCCACTGATCAGACAAATCCCACTGGAGCAGATTTAAAAAGAAAAAAGCTCTTCGTACTTAATTCTTTATGGCTTTTTGCAACACAGCAAAGTATTACAGCTTAAAGCAGACATCTCCTCACAGAGGAGAAAACAATTTTGCAGTCTAAACATAAAGTAAAAAGTAAGTAATACGATGAATTCTGTATTCTATTTGACCAAGTACTCATTATACTGATGGTCAACAAAAACTAGAGATGACATGTTACATTCTGGGAAAACATAAATATTAATAATGTTAGGTCCCTTGAGAAAAATTGCCAGGTTGATAGCAGACTGCAAAAACAAACAAACAAAAAAACAAGAATCAAACAAAACATGAAACAGAACCTGGTTTAAAACTAAAAAAATGCCAGCTAGAAAATTAACAGCCAAATAAAATTAATATGCCAAATAAAATTCAAACAGCTTTATTTGCTATCTTTTTCCTCTTTTCCTCTTTTAATAATCGGGAGAGGGTGTGCCTCCGTATTAAAGACCCAATGTTCAAACGGAAGAATATCATCTTCAGAGAATAATAAATATAAATACCTAGTAAAGAACAACAAAAATGCATTATTAATACATTATAAAACTAGAAGTACAAGTACATGTAGCATATTTATTTTATTTATACTGCAAATTTATTATATGAAGAATTTGCTTAGTATTACATTGAGAAATATCCAAACTTCCACTAGAAATATATCAGCTATTCAACTTAAAAACAATCTGGTTACATTTCATAAATTGTATTCTTATATATTGAATTTGTTCAGTAACATACAGGTAGTCTTCAACTTATGACTGCAACTGGGACCAGAATTTCAGTTGTAATTCATAATGGTGTAACTCGAAGCACCTATGTGATAGGACCTAATTTTACAATTATTTTAAAGTGGTTGTTAAGTGAATCATGCAGCCATAAATCTGAATCATGTGGTCATTAAGCAAATCACATAGTGTAAGTCTGAGTCCATTCGGTTGAATGGATGTTTTTTGCTGGAAACTGGCAAAAAGTACCAGAAACACAGAAAAAAAATATTCCAGACACGTGAGTGCCAGATGCTGTAATCTGTTGTAAATCTTTGTCAAATGTTTGAAACACAGTCATCTAACTGCAAGGTATGTGTGCAACATTTTATGTAGCTGGAAGTGCTTTATGGGTTTCGAATGGGCACTAAACAACTAATCATAAATCAAGGATGTATATGTTCTTAAAAACTTCGTATTTTTCCCTTTTCCCCAAGGGGCAGTATTAAAATTAAAAAAGAGAAGCTTTAAAAGTTATCAAAACATTCATGGATGAAAAGGCAGATCATCTGAAGCTATGCACAGTGGTGGGATTCAAATTTTTTTACTACTGGTTCTGTGGGCATGGCTTGGTGGGATTGGTTTGGCTTGGTGGGTGTGGCAGGGGAAGATATTGTAAAATCTCCATTCCCATCCACTCCTGGGGGAAGATTGCTGCAAAATCCCATTCCCTCCCCACCTCACTAACCTGCTTTCCAGCTCCGTTCTCCTGTGCAGAGCAACAAAAGAAGACCCAGCCAATCAGCTGGGACTCAGGAGGCAGCGAATAGAATGGGGGCAAGGCTAGTCAGAGGTGGTATTTGCTGGTTCTCTGAACTACTCAAAATTTCTGCTACAGTTCTCCAGAACTGGTCAGAACCTGTTGAATACCACCTCTGGCTATACATAGCTTCAAACAGGTCTCCAGGTCAAATATTTTCCAGGCTGGGTAGCTTCAAAAAGACCATAGATAATCCAAAGCCACCCAGCCCAGAAGCAATTCAGCTAGTGCTAGGCAAGAAAGTTGGCAGAAGCCTTCTGCCACAGCACTGGTTGCCCAGTGATTCAAGATGATCTAACATGTTTCATCAAGGAGATTCAGCTGACCTCTGATACTCTGAAGTAAATCAGATCCCCTCTTCAACCCACCTCATTTTGTTAAAGCAAATGTATGTTTGCTTTGCACAGGGCTAGTTTCATCTACTTACTGTTCCAACTCAGCAAATAGTAATTAATAACTCATTTAAAAATCCGCTGAATTGCTTACTTGAGCGTTTCTGAAAGGAAGAAACTCTGTTGCACATCATCATGGCTTTTACGATTGCTGTAAACATCCCTAAGGCCAGAATAACCACCATCTACTCTGCAATATTTTTCCAATGCCTGAATTTAAAAAAGAAAAATAGGGTATTATATAAGTATCTTTTTCAAAGCAAAACATTGTAGGGTAATTTGCATTATGATACTGCTTCATAATTTAAAATTTAAAGCAATTATCAGAACAATAGTATATTCTGCATAAAACACCTCAGTCGTGTTGAACTGAAATTTGGAGTCAAATTAATTAAGAATCTTACTACAACTCACATTATTTTTATTGCCTTTTTGTAATTCAGAAACCTGATTTGTTTGAAAAAACAACAACAATAATAATAAACAACTGGAGCACCACTCGAACACCATTGGTATTGACAAATTCGCCACCATTCAATTGCAGAAGACGGCTTTACTGGGAACAACTTCCATCTTTCAATGATATCTGAAATATTGTCAAACATCCACATCTGTCTACCCTAGGTCCTTGGTAAGGACTTGATAGGTAAACAAAAATGGCAAACCCACTCTGAACATCTGGCTGACTGTGTGATGATAATGATGATGATCATAATCAACAACAACAATAATTGGCTGAGTTTCATGTTTAATGAATAAAATAATAGTGCTTTGCCCGTATTATTTCCATCAAGTACTTTTGGACCTACAGATCTTCATTTATGCATATTTTTATACTGCATTATTTAGACACCACAATTAATGCTTATTCTTGTATCTGTTTTATCCTTTTAAATTGGTAATTTTATTCCACTTTTAGTAGGTGTAGCATTAATTTAAGTGAAAATATAAACATATATAAATAATTAACATAATAATGGGTACAGTTCTTACTGGGACTGGGAAGAGCAAACTGACAGATGGCTAGGAGGAGCTATTTTTTCATAGCAGACTCCATTGCAACAACTGGAAAAAGAAATTATAGCCACAAACCCCACATTGATGCTGATAAAGAAAGTGACCATAATCCCTCTTGGGGAATTGTGAAGCTTTAAATCCTGGTTATATTTCAAGATGAAAAAGGTTTCTGATGATAGAAAAGGGTGAAGATTCATTTGATATTTTAATTCTGTTAGATACGAAGGATTCTGTTTGTTCTCAAAATTGTCTTGATCATTGTGTCTAGACATCTTATATCAATAATAGTTAAAACTATTTGGAGTATTGAAATGTCTGGAGATCAAATACTAGGGGGAAAACCATGTATTAATCAAATGTTTCTTTTCCTATCTTGTTGCTTTGACTTTATTGGATTTTAAAGATAAAAACAAAGAATTTTATTAGTTATGGCTAATTATGTTTTAAGCATAATAAATTATTTTCTTTTTTTCTTAAACAGTAGATATAAAAAATGAAAATGGTTGAAATCTCTCAAATGACTTTCATCCACCCGAGATAAATCACAACCTACCAATTATATTTCCAATCCATTTAAACAATATATTGTTGCGTGCACTAAATTCAAATAATTCTTTAAAATGGCAAACCTATAAATTATAAGATACTTCAAAGAAATAACTTAAATGTCTCACCTCTACAGCTTCCCAACCCCACTGCCGGTACTTGGGGTCATGAGTGAATCGCCACATATACATATAAGTTTCTATAACTTCAGGACGTAAGATGTAATATTTTTCATTCTGTCTGGTAGCAATTGCCTCAACTCCACCATCAAATCGGAAAGCTTCTGGCCCCAATTTCATGCCTACACACAATATTCAAGTATTCAGCTTTATCAGTACTGGAATGAAACCCTTTCAAAAGTCTTAGTAAAGAACCATGATCTTAAGGTATGTAAATTATTATTATATAATTTTATTATATATAATAATAAATATATATATAATATAATTATATATTATATAATTTTATTTATTACTTTATTATTATTATAATTTTGAACTCCAAATTATAGGATTATCCTGCTGTACAACCAGGTTGATAAACATTTGTTACCCACTCAACCGTGTTGGAATCTGAAGAGCCACAACAGGCAGAAAAATGATAAAAAGTGTGTAGAACTGTTCTACTTAGTTTGAAGAGGAGGAACCCTGTTAAGTATTACATTATACAGTAGCTTTAATCGGATTCTTGCCTTGACACGATAGGAAATCGTGTGATGTTTGTGCACTTAATGGCACTTCATAGCTGAGAAATATCAAAATATAAGAAAAACAATGTTTGAAGCAATCTTGAATACTTTTTCGGTGTGTGTGTGTGTGTGTGTGTATGTGTGTGTTATCCAGCAAATTGTTTAGCTGGAATACTTCACAAAATTGTGTAAGGGTGTCTAAAGCCATGAAATGTTCCTTAACATTGTTTTATTGTATTCAGAATAAATTTTGTTTAAACAATTTCTTTTAAGTTTAACGCAACTATTCAAACAAACAAAAATGAGGAAAATTAAACTCAGATATAAAAACATAACAAAACATTCTGGGGAATACATTGCATTACTTTATTTTTTATTTTAAAAAAAAGAAAATATGTGGCAACTGTAGTGCCAGAGCTGTTAACAAACCAACATGGCATCTGCAGACCCCCAAATTAAATAAACCAAAATGTTTAAATATATGAAGTTAAAATGTATCATGCATGACTATTGTCATGAATGTTTGCATGTTCAAGCACATGGACCTGGAGATGTGTTTATTTTATTGATGCTTGTGAAATTGCCTAGCATCTGCTATATTTCAACAACAGCATACCTAGGTTTCATATTGCACACTTTTTTTAGCATTTCAGAATGAGGGAACTTGATAGCTTTTCCCTTATTTCTGAAAGTAGTTTATGCAATCAGTATGTTGAAGCTATTACTGAGTTTGCTATTGTTACTTAAAATTCTGGCTGGAAAATATTAGGTAGATGATACTGGTATGTTGCACCGTTGATGGAGAACAGCTTTGTGACAATATATACACAATAAAGGAGTTGGGTTCACCTTCATTAAGTTGTATGGACTGATACCTAAATTACCAGATGTCTCATGATATTTCCCCAAATTCTTAGTCTGATATTTTCTTGCCCATTAACTCCCATGGGACGAAGAATTTAAAAAGAAAAACAATCAGAATGGGAAGGGCAAAAAACAATCCTCCACCTCTTACACTGGCTACTCTGACCTACTAAGATTCTAGACGTTGTGGAGTGTCTTCCCTTAAGTTTCAATGCATATGGTTAGCTATTTAAGAAAATTATTCAATTTCCCTGCTACATAGTGTTACTCTGTTTCTGAATATACTGTATTAACCAAGTATTTTTAGGCAGCATCCGGGAATTTTTTAATACTAATCTTTACATCAGACTGCTAATGCCAAAGGAGAACACTCACAGGCAAGAGAGGATAACATTTGGATGTCTAGATATTATCTAATTAAAGCTCTCTCAACATTGCTCATGCTAGCTTGGATTACTGGAACTATAACACAGCAAATCTGTAGGGTGATATATTTTCATTTCTGTTATAAGCAATCCAACTACTTCCCCTACAAACATAAAGTACGTTACAGATGGAAAACTTTCCAAGGACATTTCTAACTCTATAATATGTAAAGGTAGGAATTACATGTAATAAAAATGTCTTACACAATTTATATCAGTTTGATTGGAAAAAGCCCCAAATACATTGCCCTGCATTCAAGTACAGGAACAAGTAACATTTTAAAGTCAGAACAAGAGCACTCAACAATTTATAATTACCTGTACGATCATAAGATTCATGACATGTGCGGGCAATTTCAGCTCCAAGTTCAGTGTGATGTCCAGTTTGATCAGCTGGTGCTCCATCTGCACCCAGAACAAACATCCCTCCAGCAAAACAAGTGAGATGACCCATTTTGTGTTCAAGGAGGCCACCTTTCCACTCAGCAATGTACATTAACCCATTGCTGGATTTCCTGATTAGATGGGTTTCTATGGACTAGAAGTTAAAAACACTTATTAATCTACAATAAATAATTACAATATAGGTCTCTAAATATTTTTCACATACTTGAAAGCACTAAACATAACACTGTTAAAAATGAATTGGGGGATTGCCCATTTTGTTATAGATTGCTCAGTTTATCCCTAATCCAGCCAAAGGATGGAAGAAACATAATTAATGAACACAGAATGCAATTGTTGTTGTAGAAGAATTAATACAACTTGGACAAAAGGAATCAGTATCTTAAAAACCTTTGAATTAACTTTGTATGCATTAACAAGTGTTTGGGCAGGGATAATTTGGCAAACAATAGTTAAATCATACATTATAGTAAGCCATAATGTGGCCTGCTTGGCATAATGTTTGAATTTAGCAATTGTAATTCATTCAAGGAACATGGCTAAAATAACATGGTATACTGTGGTATGTGAACCCAGTGAAGGGAATTTGAACTTTCAAAACCTTGCCTACCCAACCCAGCCCAAAATGGAAAGGTTTCTGAGTAGATTTAGATATGGGATAGGAAAACACATCTTCTTATGGATTTTTCAATTAGATTTCCTTAAGAAAAGCAAACAGAATCAGTGGGTTTTGTTGACATCTATCTCCAAGGAAGAGTTTGATCGTATTAGTTGAACAAGGAACTTGTTTAAAATGATTTGGAGTTCAGAATGATGAGTGAGCTGGCCTAGTTAAATCAAGTTGGTCTTGCAAAAAAAGGATTTGCAAATAGAATGTCAAATAAAAGAAAATGTGTGGTAAACATTGACATACTGGGACAAAAAAAAAAATCCTAATTCATTTTCAATGCATAATGGGTGATCAGGAAACCCTCTTCTCACACCTCCCTTTCCCCATTTCTAAAGCACGAGACACCTCAAAAGCACTATATGTAATGGAGTAGCTGCCACAGTAAAGGGAAGGTTGGTCAGAACTGCTTTGTCAATGCAATATTCCTTTGGAGACTGGCTTTAGGTGTTTTGATTCAACTTTTTAATAAGCAATAGCCCAATTGATTAAATTTATTTATTTGGAGATATAAACGAAACCTAAATATCTTCCAACAACGCAAACCATCTTCACTAAAACTGTTTTAATTTGCTTGTATTTAAAAAGTTGCTTCTCTATATCTATAACACTGTCATTTACTGAAAAGATTACTAAATTTTTAAGTGAAGTTACTTAAAAATATTTATAAAAGGAATATATATATATATATAGTCAAAAAAATTTTTTTTAAAAAAACCTATCATAATATTAGCTTTTACAATTATATATAATAATTTCTAAAGCTCTGCATAATATTTACCTGAACAGCATTATAATACATTTCCTTGGCTTCTTCATCTGTCTTATCAGACATCAACCATGCTTTCAGCAAATATTCATAAAAACTATCTCCAAGTCCTCCAACAGAGACATGATCTGGGGAAAAAAGAGCAATCTGGTAATGTTATGTACCCACAATCCCAAAGACAAAAAAAATTAATGGCAAAATACTATAGAAAAGCTACATCAAACCACTTTCAGCATGGTGCTTTATTCAAGCTATATTTTCTTTGATATATCTGTCCCATTAGACTACACTATGTAAAAACATGATGCTCTGTAGGCATAACAAAGGTTTAAATGCGTGCCCCAATTTCCCCGCCCCCAATGTTGAAACAAGCAACTCTTCACCCACAACAAACCTATTTTGCTTGGATCTATTCATTTTTTATTTGTGAATAATTTAAGCTTCTGGTGTAGTGGGGTGTTTTCTCCATTTTCTGTATCCCCTGCTTTTTATAACATTTTGACTTGTTAAGAATTCTGGAGAACTCAAACACTTACTTTTATGCTACTAGTTGAGCTCTAAAAATGGTATAATTCAAATCTGGATTTTTTTGGGGGAGCAACTGAATATAGTTTTAAATTAAAAAGAATTATATGCATGCTATGTGAGGACATGGGAGAAAGAACAATTTACATGAAAAGTTCTCAAATTATGGCCATTAAAAATGAAGACGGATAGGTTGTCCTCTAAAAAAAGGTTAAGAAACCAGACATGCACAGATTTTTTTTCCTTATTAAAGAATGTTCCTCTTTAAAGAATGTTTTCTTGTCTATCAGCCTGTGACTTAGCATTTTGTTTTTAAAAATGCTACTTTTGCTTTCCCTTCCCAAAGAAACCGTACGTGATAAAAGGATAGAAGTATGAAGAGTGGTTTATCTGTTGTAAAGAACATTTCATGAATTCAATTAATAGAAAAATGAGAGCTCCAACAAACAAATGATTAAAAATGTATTTTGGAGGGGAAGGTTGATCTCTAAATAGCACCATATAAATGACCTTTACAGTTTCCTAAATGAATTACCTCTGAAAATCCTGACATTTGCAAATTAAATAGCATACACAGAGACTCATCAATAATAAGTCCTGTTATTGTAGCCATTGTTGCTTGAAACAAATCTAATTGACCTGAGGTTCCACAAATCACTTTCAATTTACTTCTAAAGTAAAAAAAAAAAAGCCAAGCTCAATGGCAGAAAAAATAACAATAAAACCAGAGGAGACTCTCAAAGATATAGCTTGCTAGTTTCACAATAACATACTCCTAAATGCCCCATTAAGTATGTTCTTCTCTCCCAATTCAATATTTATAAGTTACCGTGATAATGTCTTGGAAATTTTAATAATTCTCTATCAAAGCTGGTGCAAAATATAGCAACATGGGTAGTAAATGTTGCCAGTTATTTTGTGGGCATAATACCATTATTCCATGAGCTGCATTGGTTGTCACTGTGGGTACAATTCAAGGTGCTGGTTATCACCTTTAAACTCCTTCTTGACTTAGAACTGGGCTACCTGAGGGCTCATCCAGTCAGGCAGGATGAGCATGATTTAGATTCTGCTAGCCAAAGAATATGTGCTGTTTCTGCTTCTGGAACCTTCTCTGTCTAGCGATGAGGGATGCTCCCGAGCTTGCTGGCCTTTTGTAAGGCCATGATTCTCTGCTGGGTCTGGGGCCCTAAAAGTGTGCAAGGGCAGACATCTTGGTTATGTAAGTGTTTGGGGCTGATGTTACTTGGTTGCTGCACATTTTAACTTTTGTAAAGTTTATAATTGTTTTTATTTTATTTTAATTCTATTTATTGTCCAGAGTCATTAGTTGTGATGGGCAATCATATGACTTGAATACATAAAAATAAATAAAGAGGAAAACTTTGCTATAGAAAGGTTTATTAGTGCAGAGAGTTTCAATAAGAACTTGAGTTTAAAAATGTTTATCAATAAAAAAAGCATATTTTACTCATACTGATATAGTACATACTAACATAGTATTATAACCCTAATACCATAGTACATCTCCTTTCTTGAACCTCTTATGTACCCATTTTTTTTAAGAATGGGATTTTGTACTACTGTGCCAATCTGTGCCTGTTACTCACTAACTGGCTATAAAGTTCACACCTCCAAGAAAGCATATTGTTCTGTTTCCTTAACTCTCTTCCTGCAATAAAGTACTGTATAACCTGTTAGAATAACAGATAATTGGTACAACTTGTGTAACAAATCAATTATGTTTCCTTTCAAATAAGGTATATGTAGTTTCCATTCCATGAAGAATACAGTATCTGTCTCTTCTTTTCTGTTACCTTGTATCCTTATGAGTTACACAATAATTCTGTCCTAACTCAGGTCTCTTATTAATATACATGTATACATAAGCTGTTGTTGATTAACATTTTATACAAAACTGATGTAATATTGTAGCCTTTGCTCTTAGATCTTCAGTGTGTAACAGATCAATGACTCATTGCAATCTGCTAATTTAATGAAATAAGCAATAATTTGGAATCTTCTCCAGTTGTTGGCTTTTCTACCACAATTAGCACAAGAAAATTCTTAACTTAAGATGCCATGAAACCCAATATTATGTACATAAATTAAATACCTTCAAATGTTCAGAAAACAAAATACTAAGTTCTGCGGCAATCATTCAAGGAGAAATACCCAAATTGACTGCATAATTCAAGTAACTTAGAAAACATATTTTTCTTTTGTGTATACTATGTTAAACGTAAGTACTTACGCTGGCCCCATTGACCACTGTTGGGATTTAAATAATTAGGGTAAAGTCCTTCTGGTTTATCTAATCTATTTAACACTTTTCGAATGTTCATAACCTATTTCAAAACAAAAAAATGTAAATTTTTAAAAATAAATATATCTATATAATACATTTACATAAAATGCATTCTTTAAATATTGGTCATAATATTATTCTAATTTTAAAGTATTTCTTTAAGGTACTAATTAACATCTCAAGCAATAGCTTCCTTCATGATACACACTCTACAGAAATGAATCTGCCCAAAGCACATGTACAATGGATCTTTTTCAACAATATTTTTTTAAAGGAAACCTATCCGCCGTGGATGGAAACATAAAAATAGATCAGAACTGAATACATAGCTTAGTTGCATTTGGGGAAGTAATCTCATTTTACTGTCTCTTATTGTCATCTATGATTATATACAGAGCCTATGATTATATCTAAAGCATATTCAAAGCTATAATTGATTTTGATTTGATAAACACAAAAGTTAGAAAGTATCTTCCAGGCTCAGTGATTGAAATAGATAAGACTACTGTCCATAACAAGCATTATGGAAGCACAAACAAGATGCTGCTTATGAATATAAGGATCTAATGCATAAATGTGGAATGAGCCTAAGAGAAACCTTGGCTGCCTCCTATCTTTTTTCTGTGCTTTCTAATACCATAGGATGGCCCTTTTTAGATCAAGATTTGAGCATCTATATACTATGGTCAAATACGGACAACTCCCTCAAGTGCCATGTCTTGAGAGAACATGTGTTTGTGGAGTGTCAGAAATAGAAGTTATTGCACATGTTCTATTCAATTGTCAGTTATATGCTGCAGCAAAGACCCTGTACTTACAGACATTATTTGACTGAACCATACACTAAGACTTTTGTTAAAGATTATTTTATTTCCATTATATATGTAGTCACCAAAACTATTACATTTAAAGTCAGGGCTGTCCAATAAAGAATATGGTTTATAGAACACACTGGAGTTGCATGCAAAGGTGATGAATTCACTTAAGCACACACTTTTTTGAACTTTAAGAGTCATTTGATATCTCTGTACTCTATTTTATGTTATACTATTTCAATCTTATTTTACCTTATTTTTATTTTATTGACTATATTTTAATATATTTTATCCCATTGTAGGCTATTTTATCACATTTCATTGCACCTTACCATACCTCATTTAACTGTGTCTTATCATGGTTGGTGGCTATGGTCATTTGGTTAATCAATATATTATACTGTACTATGCCCTACCATACCCTACCCTGCCCTATAGTACCAAACTTCACTATTCCTGTTCTTTCCTTTCATGTAGCTAATAGAAGAGCTCGAGTTTAGTTTCATTCTCAGCAACATTCAAACCAACCAAATGAAGACACACACCCCTCAAATTATTTTTCTGATTTATTTTATTTTAATACTATTTATTTATTTCCACTAATAAGGTGGAGGACAGCCAAAAATAAAACATATAATAGGAAAATATATTTCTATGCTTGAAATCTAAAGGCAAGTAAATAAAACATCAACTGCTGTGTGATGAATCAATGAAATTACTGTACTAAACTTTTTGTTTAGCTAATCAATATTTGAATTAAACTAGTCTCTTATTGAATAAGAAGATCTCCAAGAATGCCAAAGAGTTATTCTTTTAGCTGCATGGGTAGAAGAAACATGTGACTCTGAGATTTTACTTTAATGCTAAATCTTGTTTTAGTGTTACATGAATACTTTCTCAAAGTTTCATTTGTTAGTAGTACAAGGTCACTGTAAGTACAGTAATTTCAAGAAAGTTCTTGAACCTCGCAGAAGAAAGGTTTCTGCCCTTTGAAACTAATACATCCAGAAGATTTATAATTAAATTTAAAATGTATAAATTCCAGTTATGTGGTCAGCAATTGATAGGCCATTTAAAGTAGAAATCTAACCTTTTCAGCAAACAGCAGATTTCCAGATAAGTAGCTTAAATGTATGAACTCCAAATGGAGTGTTCCAAATTCTGCCAAAATACTGCTTCCACCTGATGCCCAGGGCCAGTTTCGACCAATGCCACTAAAAAAGAAAGGTAGGGTAAAATTAACTGAGGTGGAGAAATAGAACAATTTGATTTCAAGTAGTGTGAAATTGAATGTAATCTACATTTCTTCTGGTTTAGAACTCCCAGCTCTCTTCATCCTCGAATAAAATGAGGTTGAAGGAAACTGGAGTCCAACATTTGTGTTACACTATTTGCTGAAACAAGATATCTTTCGGGAGCTCAACAGCACAATAGATGCTAGGAATGTCTCTTTTGAACATTATTTTCTAAGCATACACCTATTGCTTTTTCTTCCCTATCAATATTGTTAGTTAATTAGCCAGAGATGATCATTACTTAAGAATCTAGTTTCATCAATAGTCTCAGGGCAGCTGTACTGTTACATCATTTTTTGTGATGAATACTCTTATAAATGAAGTCCCTATATAAAAATAGAGTAAAATGAAGAATTTTGTTAACAATAAACATCCTGCCACCCTCACCACTCTCTGCACAGCCTTCCTGTCTGAAACAGTGATACTTCCAAACCACACAATATGACAGGATGCTTTCAATCGTCCTTCTAAAGGAAGTGGTCAGGGCAGGGAATGAAGACAATGCTCTTCTCATACCATGCAGAAAATACAAGCGCTGCTGTGCCCACTTCACCAGTGTTTCGCTTTTAAGCGACCAAGCCAACCTGCTTGTCAGCTGCACACCTAGAAACTTGATACTGCTAACCAGCTCCACATATGAATCATTAATACACAGAGATGTATAGCTGATGTATAGCTATGGTGAACTAGATAATGACCTCTTTTGTTTTTCCTATATTTAAAATCAGGCTATTTTCATTGCACCTGTTTATCAAACCCTCTACTACAAGGGTGTCAAACTCACATTGTCATGGCAATGTGATGTATCTGAACTCCCCCCCTTCGCTAAACTGGGCATGGGTGTGGCCAGTGCGTAATGCATCCGGTCTATGGGCCGGGAATTTGACAGGCCTGCTTTACCTCCTTCCGGTAATCACCCTCATTATCATACTGAAGAAGGCCCACTACTGTTGGATATATTTAGGAAATTATGGAGCCAGAAATGTTTGGGGGTTTTTGCTTCAAGATCACACTCTTCTGATGAGATTTCCATGAATGTTATTTTGAAAAATAACTATATATATTTAAGAAATTTAACGTCCGATTAATGGAAGAAGAGTATCCAGGCTATTAATTAAATGTATGAATATTGCCAACCAAAACAGACACATCAGTTAAATATTACAGAACGAAGAAATATAGGTGCAAACCTCATACAATAAAATCTGAGAAGACAGTTAAAATCAGGGTATGCCAAGACATTGTATATAAATATTGTCAATCCAAAGAAGAGTAAGGAAGGAGCTAATCTCCTTCTCTTAATAAGGAGCTCTATAATGAGACAGCTACTTTGAAAGGGGTAGTCTTATGATTCCACCAATTCAAAACCTGTGAATGACCTCCCAAAGTTGCATAGGAATTCTGTACCAAAACTATAGGGAGTTATGCAGGATATACTATTCCACACTATACAGCTCCTACTCCAGGTCTAGGTTATTAATTATCCCTCCTCCTTCATTACTTAAGAAAGCAACATATTTCTCATTTTAATTCATATCATCTTATATGAAAAGAAAAAAATTATACGTTGACTTTTTAAAACTTTCTTGATGTGACTTGTTTTTACTCTGGTAGAGTTAATATACCTGAACTATAGAGCAAACTGCTGATTTTAGACATTTTGTTAATTGAACTACATTGATTCTAAGAAAATATAGCTGATCTATTTGAAAAAAAAATGGTTGACTCAAAATTTTAGGAAAAAAGGTTTAGAAACAGCTTTTATTTGAGATGATTCTGCAATTATGAGTTATGTTTCGGGAACAGTGATCTGGGAAAGAAAACATGTTCATATACTTCATTATGACCTCTATAGCACATGTTCATGGTTTGTTTTCAGAACCAAAAGCTATTAATGCTTCCAGTCCATACATTTTAATTTCAGTGTGGCAAAAAGACTTTGATCAGAAATGGACTACTTAGGATCATGGAAGACTGGGATATCCACCATTGCTTTCAGTTCTAAAAAAAGATTCAGATTCAGACATATGCAAGATTTTCTAACTATTTATCTCACTGATCTCCAGTTTCAAAGCAGGAAACATTAAGCTTAATGGTTTGACTGAAAAATGACCAAGTCTCTAGGATAAACCTGATTTTGCTAGTGATGGAAAGTCTCTGCCTTGCTCCCTGCTGCTCCCATTGTCTTACAGTGAAAATGAGTCACATTTGCAACTTGCAACAAAAACATAGGAGAAATGACTACCTGGTAGCAATTCAGGGGATCAAGGAACTTAATTGGCAAGGAATAAAGGAAAGTTGGTCTGCAAGATTAACTTATTCAAATTAAATGATAAGCTTTTACCTTTTGATATTTAATAATGCCCAAGGAATTCCTGTGGGGGTATTAAAAGCTGGAAGTAACTTTTCTCCTAGTTCTACTGCTTTTTTTCGGAATATCTAAAAATGCAAATAAACAAGAGTTAGGCAATACAGGAGGAAATGAAAACAAGGTTTCTATATTTTAATCTGAAATTTCAGATAAAATTCAGAATATTTTTTCAAAACTCTTTAGAAATATTTGGCAATTTGACTAAATAAAATTCTGTTAATACAAACAGTATTAATTACATTTTTTATTTTTTTTTTAAAAATGATGGGAATAAGGGTGAACATGATATGATCCTTCAAATTGTTATGAATTAACTTGCCTATCAGCGAACAGAGGGTCAACTCAAAACACAGAGAAAACAGGATTATTGTAACAAAACAGAAGAAACAAGGATCGAAGCTAGAAACCCTGAGACTGTGAGTTCTAGTCCTGCCTTAGGCACAAAGTCAACTGGGTGACCTTGGGACACTCTTTTTTTTTTTCAGCCATAGGAATGAGGCAAGAGCAAATCCGGGGGGAAAAAACCTAAAGGGACTAGTCAAGGCAAATGCCAGAGGTCAATACTGATTGCAAAGGCACCAAACAAATAAGCAAATGCCACATCTAATCTTACCTCTTCTCCAGAAAGATAGTATGCTGAAAGTAATCCTCCAACAAAACGGATGTTTACTTCAAAAACTGAGATTTCTGCATTCTGGAAATATAAATATATTTTAAGCTATACATTAATTTGAACACAAGAAAGGTAATAACTTTCTCCTATTATTCTTAATACTGTTAGTATCTGTATTTTGCATAATACTGAGGGAAGTTATGCTTTATTCCTCTAAACACTTATTCCATAAATAAGTACAAACCTATTTATGGAATATTAGTCTATGGAAATAAGATTAAAAGACTATCTCATCTAAAGGGAATTCAATCAAGTAATTTGAGATTTACAGCTATGTGTTTTTTATAGTTTCCTGCACCTGAGTTATTCTCTCACTTCTCTCCCCCATGTGCATCTGAGTCTCACTCAAGGACTATTATGACCCACCTATACTGACCCACTTTATGCTCTTGTTCTCCTGCCTTTGTGAGCTGGTACTGCACTGCAGCACCCGCCATGGCCTGTGGTCTAAGGGCCTCCCCAATACCCTGTGGCACCTATTCATCCTTTACCTGGCACTTCCTCTGTCCTCTGCTTAATGAACCATGTGTCTTGGGGTGATGATGATGATAACGGGGATTGCCTGGATTGCTATCCCTAAGAAATGTGGTCATGTAACACGGCACTTTATGGCCACTTTCTTTTTAGTGATGGCAATCCTGGTCCCAGTTGCAATCATAACTCAAGGATTATTTGACAAAATAGACTTATGGAAAAAGAGGCTATGTGGAGTCTTGATTTAGAGACTTTTATTTTGCCAATCAGGCAGCCATAAGCTTTCCAATAAATGCATAAGCAAGGATAAAAAAATACTGTAACTTCAAAACTGACAAAAAAGAAAGAAAGCACATGAGTCCGGGAATTATAACACAGTAATTAAAAAGTTGGATTATGTTGCTTGAAATATTTTACCTTTCCCCTTTTGCCAACTCACCTTCAAATACTGAGAAACATACACACTCACACACATATTCACAATCCACTGTTGTAAATAAGATACAGCATTTTCTTTCTATTTTCGGCAACCCATGTATTCAAGATGTTCAGAATATATTCTTGATATAATAGGGGTTCACCGTCTGTTGCTCCATGAATCCTCCCATTGACTATCAGCTACAACATTATCAGTGGAAAACTGGCTGCTGTGCCCTTTGCTCCTATTTTCATTTCCTTATCCTCATATTCCTTATTTTCCTTAAAAAAAATTATGTTTAATATAAAATGTAAATTTGCCCTACATTGTTGACTTCCAGAAGCACCTACACTTTTTACAAGATGGATTATCAATTCTCCTTTCTGTCAGGAATCACTTCTGGTGAGGAATGGCAAATTGACGTTTATTGGATCATGGGAGATATTGTGGCCAAAAGAGCAGCTGAATATCACATCCAGACTGTCAAAAAGACGTCCAGAGCTTATACTTATATACTCTGTGTATCTATGTTGTTTTGTTTTGAGTAGACAGCAGAAACTAATGTTTTTGCAGTCTCTTGCTAACAATTAGGTGTCACAGGAATCCATCATGCTCAGAGCTATTAATATAGCTTTTCATGGACTCAAAGGTCTCTCACACTTTATCTTCTGAATCACTTTGAAGAGTTTTTTTTTCCTTATGCTTTTTAAAGATTTAAAAACCTTTAGAACTGCAACTCTAGAATTTGCTGGGTAGTTTCTCTTCAATCCATTTAGAAGAAAATTATGTGCTTCAAGTTTTATAAGAACTGTTTTCTTTGCAATTTACTACAGCAAAAGGATGATTACGGTGCTGATTTCAAAAAGTTTTAAAATGGATTAAAGGTTCAGGTGAATTTGAATTAAAAAAAAAAGACTTTGAAGTTAATTAAAAGGATCCCCTTTTGTGGGAAGAGCTCTTTTGTTTATATTTTGAACTGACAAGAAAACTTTGAAAGGTGGACAATGGAGGGCACCAGATTGTTATCTTAAAGAGAATGTTTGATGTTTGGGTCCAAGAGGTTTTTAAATATTTAACTCTAGAAAGGAATCAAAAGGTATTACTGAAGAGGAACAAATCCCATTGAATAAAATTGAAATGGATTTTAAGGTGAATTCAAAATTTATACATTACAAGAAAGAAATGGAAATATTGGATTAAAAATGGAATTGGACAAATTTAAAAATTAAAAAGATCTACAAATAATAAAAAACAATGTGGATTATTTTCTTATATTGGAATATGAGGGATTTACTGGATTTATTGTACTGGAATTACAAAAGGACTTTGCTAAAGACAAGAATTTCAAGTGAAGAGACAAAGAGAATATGAGAAATCAAATGTCAGAAATTTATTTGATGAGAGAAAGGGAAAAAAATATAAACTTGGTTCACTTAATTATGGTTAAAATAATGGGTTGCTCTCTCTGGTGATATCTAATTTTTTTTACTAGGACAAGAAAGTGATGGTTACTTTAGGTAAAGTTTAATTTGTTGCAATGGATTTATTTGTAATATGTTATTTTATACATAAATATTAGTTTACTATTTCTCGTGATGTTTAATGCTTTTTTTATTGGGACTAGATGTTTGTTATGTTTGTTTTTAATTAGGACCAGACTTTGCCTATTTGCAGAGAGGGGTTAGGGGAATTTGCTTAAATGGAAATGGAGATATAAATATTTTTTATTTCTGATCATCCTTTCTGGACTTTTCTTGATTAATAATGAGACTAATAAGCCCAATAATAAGCCCAAGAGATGGGCTTATAGAAAAAGGGGTGAAGTATGGAAATATTTGGTTACATTTTAAGACACAGTGAAATTGTTACTATTGATTATTCTTGCTTTTTGACTTGTTATTTTTCTTTTTTACTTCTTTTGTTTTGATTTTTCTCTGCATTTTGAAAATTTTTGTATATTATATAATTTAACATAATCCTAAAGAACACCAGTAACCAACCAGTGGGCCACGGAAAAATTTTGGTGGGCCGCAGAAGAAATGGCCCCCAAAAGCAATTAATCTGGGCCGTGCAGTTCTTGTGCCTCCCGGCTCTCTGAGGGACCCCAGAGTCAGGCCCGAGATGCACTCACCAACCAGCTCCTACACCTGGTGGCAGCAGCAACAGCAGTCACCTCCCCCAGCACCTACTGTCAGCTCTTCCCCATTAGTTCTCTAGCTTTGAATTGCTCCCGGCTCTCTCTCTTTCCTCCCCCCCACCCACGTGCAGGCAGGAAAGGAAAGAGAGACAGAGCTGTGCACAACTCTCCCCTTTTCCAGCCCTGCTCCCAACATCGAAGGCAAAGCCGCTGCAGTGGTAGCGTCCTGAGTTGCCTTAGCATGCTTGGTTAGTTAAGAATCACCCTACCTAGAGAAGGAAGTGGTGCTGGAGGAGGAGGAGGCAGTAGTGGAGAAGCAAGCAACTCAGGGTGCTACTGCTGTGGTGGTTTTGCCTGCGTTTCTGAGGGTTCAATGTTGGGAGAGGTAGCAAGGGCTGGAAAAGGGGAGAGCTGTGCACAGCTCTGTCTCCCTTTCCTTCCTGCCTGCACGTGGGGGGGGGGGGAGGAGGAAATAGAGAGAGCCAGGAGCAATTCAAAGCTAGAAAACTAATGGGGAGAGCTGACAGCAGGTGCTGGGGGAGGAGACTGTTATTGCCACCACCACCGTGTATGGAAGCGTGCATCTCAGGGATCTGAGCTGGGAGGCACGGGAACTGCAAGTGGGAGCGTTTGATGATTTTGAAGAACTCCCGGAATATGGTAGATTGGCATTTTGTAGGTCTCAGTGAAAAAGTGAGCTTTGTTTCATCTCCCTTCCTCTCCTGGTAATGCATGAGATGCTTTCTCTCCCCCCCCCACCAACTAATCACTGGCTGTGGCTGGGTTTGGCAGCAAAGTGCTAAAGCGAGTGAAGTGCCCCCAGGGACACTTTTCCTTGCCTGTCTCCAAGGGACGCTGGAAGGCCCCCCCCCCCCCCAAGCTTTTCCTCGGTTGCAGATCTGAGCTTCTCAATCCTCCACCAGGGATCTGAAAGGAGCTCCACTTTCTCCCCCTCCCCTCCCCCAATTCATCACCAAGTGTGTCAGTCCTTCTGCAGGCAGATGCCTGATGAGAAGCCCCTGGAGTGGCAGCCAAGGGGCTCTGCCCCCCAAGGAGAGCAAAGCCACCTTTCTGACTCTGCTTCTCCCAGCAGGAGTTGCCCCGAGGCCCCTCAGCTCAGACACATACACACACACACACACACACACACACACACACACACACACTGCCCGCTCTTCTGTCTCTTTGGAAGGTGCAGGTGGGGGAGGCTTCCATCCCGCAACATTTTATTTTGCTATCATTAAGCATTTACATTTTTGTTATAATTAAATAAGTGGCAGACTAGACACACATAAAGACAGAACTATGCACCCTGACTAAAGTACTGACAGCCAATGGCTTCCACAAAAGCAAAATCACCGGCTTGATTCACAAAAACACTCTGAGGCATAATGGAGACCTAGAAGATGAACAGACTTATGGAACAGCTGTCCTGCCCTACATAAGAGGTACTACAGACAAAATCAGTAAGATACTACACAGGCATCACATCAAGACTGCCTTCAAAACAGACAGAAAAATAGCAGCCATCCTTAGAAACCCCCAAAATAAAATTGACCTGGAAAACCAAGGCATATATGAAGTCCCCTGTGCATCATGCCCGGCCACATACATTGGACAGACCAATAGAAGAATAAGTACCCACCTGGATGAACACAAAAATGCAGTAAAAAAGCTAGATCACACTTCCTCACTAATCCAACTCATAAAAGCCACAGGACATAGCATCAACTTCAATGGCACCAAAACCCTAGCCACTATAGAAAACCCCAGCCACAGAATTATCAGAGAAGCCATAGAGATTGAAAAAAAGACCTGAAAGCATGAATAGAAGAGATGATTCCACCAGACTGTCAATTATTTGGAAGCCTGCACTCACAAACAAAAAAAATCTCCACACCACAAGCCAGGCAAACAGCTGGGCACAAACAGATCCCCCCTGATATCTCCAGCTCAAACACACCCCAACCAGGCACCCAGATGAAACCTAGC